TTGAACTCGACTATTAATATGATTCTCATACCCTCTTCCTTAATTGAATTTCTAATAACGTTCCAAACTATTAATGGAAGTTATTTTCTCCATCATAACCTTCCCATAGAAAACATTGTTGAATAGTCTCCAATTCTTTACAATGCTTACAAGAAAGGTCAGTAAAGACAAGTGGTATAATAGTAAGTTATCCATGGTACTCTTAATAAGTGTCAGTCTTTCTCCCTTAGAGGGATAATTCTGCTTTTTTCAGCAACCCTCAACTTGAATCTTTGCACAGTTGGATATCATACAAAATATTGTTATATTTGGCTCTAAGTGGCAATCCTAGGTATTTGATAGGAAAGTTTGTCACTTTGCACTTTAGAGTCTAAAATCCCCACCAAAAGACCCAAGTTCACTTTGCACTTTAGAGTCTAAAATCCCCACCAAAAGACCCAAGTCCCTTCTTGACTTATCGATACTAATTCTGGCATAGGTAGATTAATTTTAAGACCCAATATACTACTTGGAGATAGAATAGGACATATCTAATGTTTAACATAGTTTATAGTTCATGTTCACAAAAAAATAAAGTATCATTAGCAAAAAAATGAATTAATTGCTTCCAAAACATCTTAATTGTCCCCAACCATTAAATTCCTAGATGAAAGATTCTCTGTGACTAGTAATCAATATGTTTAGGGCCTATATAATAATGATGAAGAGTATAGGAGAGAGTGAATCTCCCTGCCTTAGCCTCTTAATGCTCTAAAAATCCAAATGGGCCACCATTCACTAGGGTTGCAAAATAAGTGGAGGTGAAGGTTTTTAGAGAAAAATAAACCATTAATTTTATTTCTTATGCTTTTTGTTTACACTTAGAAGATATATATAAAGTAAATTATCTTTATTTTAGAAGAATTCGAATTACATGATATAACTTTACTGTTATAACTCTAACTAATAAAATATCCTATTCAGCATAATATTCTATTTATCATAGAATCTTTATCTACATAAACAATGAGAAGAGTGACCTTATCCTCACGATGTTTGATAAATGAAATATGATCGACATTGGTTTGTTGATATCTAAAAGAGATCATAATTCTTCTAAACTGTTCAAACCATACTTTTGGAGACTGCTTTAATCTGTATAAGATATTTTTTAATTTGTAAACTTTTTCTTGCGTCCTCTTGTCTTCAAATCTAGGTGGAATTCTCATGTATATCTCTTCCTATAAGTCTCCATTGAGGAATACATTTTTTATATCAAACTATTGTAGATCCCAATCAAGGTTAGCTACGTAAGACAAAAGTATTCTAATTGTGTTCATCTTTGTAACATATGCAAAAGTTTTCTTGATAGTCAATTCTATAGGTTTGAGAAAATCCTTTAGCCACCAATATAATTTTGTACCTTTCGATCAATCTATCTGCTTTGTATTTTACGGTGAACACCTATTTGTAATCAACTATCTTCTTTCCCTGTGG